AGGAGAGAGAGGAAAAAAATATACCCATCTTATGGGAAGAGAAAAACACCATTGTAAGGCTCTGAACCTCTTCATGGAGAGGCAGACCAAACAAATATTATCAATAAAGGCTTTTAATGTTTCTCCCCTAATTCTGAGTACTATTTTTTGTTCTTTCATTTGGTCCAATGGATTATTACGATTTGCTATGATTTTCCCGTGATTATTTGTATTGTTTTGCACTCATAAGATATGAGATAACTTTTGAGCAAACAGAAGTATTCCGCGTACATGCTGGATTCAGTAAGAGGCGCACTCCAATGGGGTGTAATGTAGATAGCCTATTTTGAGACAAACATCAGTGGATAATTTTACGGCTCGACCTGTGACACCTATTGGTCACATGAAGACAATTTTACGTTGCTCCAATATTCACTTCCACTCAAAAAGGATAGTTTCAACAATTTCGATTTTGAGTAATGATGATCAGTGTTTTGACTATAGTCTCAATTAATGAATAATGGGATTGGTTGAGTAAAGGAGACTTAACATGTAAATTGCTGGTTTATTTAATAATTGCCTTGAAATTAATGAGTCATGTTAAAGGTGAATGAAATCAAAGCTTAGGGTGACTAGTACAAGTTTAAAAGATATCATTAGATAACTCCAATAAGTAAAAATGTGTAAAGTTGCATAATGTCTACTGACTGAGGAGGTCATCCGATTGCAACAAAATTACCCAGTTTGTGATTCATTAAGTATTCTGGTAGATATCTTGTACTTAATGATGCAGAAAGCACAAAATACTGGGAGAGAACATCTTCTGCTTTAGTCATTTTGATATACGCATTTGTTCAAGTTGTCAGCGTTCATGTGGATGTCCTGAATAAAGATTCTCAGGCTTAAAGCGGAAACAGAATTTTCAGCAAAGTAAAAAAAGTAAAAAAGCAAAGAAGCTAAGGTGATTCAACACCTAATATATATATACATATATATATATATATATATATATATATATGTATATATAAACAGCCACTTGCAGAAATGCAGGGTAAGGCTGCGTATAATAGATCCTTGTAGTCCGGCCCTTCCCCGGACCTAATTTAACCTTATAGATACAATGTATCGGCGAAAGGGGTTCAACTGAACCCCCTTCCACCCACCTAGCTCTGCCCGTGGTTGGTTGTAGGATTCCAATTAGTAAAAACACCGTTCAACAAATTTAAAGAGGCATGCTCTTTTCAAAAGTTTTTAAAAGATCTCGATTATGTGAATTTTGATTTTCTAGTCTTGCAAAACAGAATGTGATACGATGAGATAGAATGCAACTGAAACAAAAACATGGAAACGGAGCGAGCCTATTTATTCTGAATTAGCGAATCTTCGTTTCTCCTAGCCACTGTCCGCCGTTTGACTCTTTCTCTAAGGAATGTTGTGTGACAAGCGCATAATGTTCACTAGAACGCCCTTAGATTTTTAGACATAAAAACGGGTTTGAGAGAAATATGCATCATAAGTTAAAACCAAACAAACATGATCCTTATTTCATTGCAGATTAACACTGCATATCAGCAAATGCAGTGTACTTTATGATTGTGACATATTCTCAGTTTATTTGAGGACTTATAAAAATCTCCTTTCCTGAAAATGATGTTTCAATTCTAGTTCTTTCTTGTTCACTTGATGAACTTGATAAACCAGTTTAACATATCTGAGTGAGACTCTTCTGCAGCTTTGACAGACGATTCATCCTCAACGTTGTATCGAACTGTCCATCCATGTTGAACTCCAGGAAATATCTTCACAAAGCTCTCAATCTGCACAATAGGTAACAGTTATTAGTCCCCCTTAGTCCTTGGGAACAGCGTAGCGACGGATAATTCAGAATCAGAATAGGTCCAGTCCAGGGGACAAATCAATAGGAAATGCTATTTGCTTCGTAAGGTTTACATAAAAAAGAAAAGTTAGTTTCCCTTTAGAAAATACAGATGATTTTAATATATATTTCATCCTTTTTTGATATTGAACTATATCAATGGGACAGTGATAATGACAAATTATCCTATTCTACCATTCTTTATTGTAATGTAGTTAATTTATTGCATATAATGATCTTCTTCAACCCATTTAACAAACCTAAATGCTTTAAGAGATACCACATTACCTCGGATTTTGCAGATAAAGCATCGCCTAGCTGCTTCGCTTGGTCAGGCGGAAATATATGGTCATGCTCAGCTGCTAATATTGCAATTGGAACTTTTACCTCTGAAAAATACAACATTATTTATCAGCTCCAAAAGTCATCGAAGATATAACAATACAGGAGAAATGAGAGATGTATAAAGTTACCATTTATCTCATCAACTGTTATAGGACCAGGATGCAAGATAACTGCAGCCCCAATACTATTCTCATGTTTTGCCAATTTAGAAACTACCATTCCTGAAGCAAAATAAGGAGTCCATGAATCTCCTTTTCTATTAAAGTAAAGCTAAAGATATGTAAAAAACAACACATTTGTCTCACCTCCCCAGCAAAAGCCTGCTGCTCCTATGGAAGAAACACCTTTACTTTTCAAAGATTCAACCACTGCTTTAGCATCTTCACATCCTTTGTCCTAAAAGATGTAAGAACCAACTCAATGTCCTTAAAAAAAATACCTTAACTTATACACAAAAGCTATTTATCTCCAAGACACATTACTATTACAGATTCATCAATATTCGCATTTCTGCAAAGTTAAGTAAATAGTTTCAAGTGTTGCAGCAATTGGCATCTTTATTCAGGAATTCCCTCATGTTCTTTGAAATAAAGAAGTTCACATAGAATGAGACTAACCGCGCCATGATCTTTCAACCATGTCTGTATGTCATGTTTCTCGCGGTCTAGAGGTTCACCATAGAAGAAATCAGGAACAATCACCAAGTACCCTGCAGCTGCAACTTTATCTGCTAGCTTCCTAAATTACCCAAACAGAAGCAGAATATTGAGATATCATCCGATTTATGGAAGTCCAAAGGTTTATTTATCCTTATGATTGTTACTCAAACTAGAGATTACAACACCTATCCCTCATTGGTTATGCAAGCATTCCCAAAAGACTTAAACTCACTGACGGTATAACAATACGCAATCAGGTCATTTAAAAGCAAATCTATTTGATAGCATTGATTTGTAACATAAATCAATGCTACATGAAAATCTAAAAAAAGGAAAGTATAAATTTCAGCCAGTATTTACCTCAAAAGTGGAGCTTCATATCCTACAAAACCAATTACACAGATAAGAATTAATAGCTAAATAAACCAACAAGTTACCATCTTTGTTTTTGAAAAGATATAAACAAGCTTGCTTAGAATGCTTCTCCACACTCCACTTATAGGGAAAGGATCCAATATTTCTTTATAGCTACTGGAGAGGATTCAATCAACTAATATTATCTAATTAGGGAAAAGAAACAGCAAACACTAGTAGTAACTATATATATCAAGAAAAGTTGATGTTTACCAAATACATCAGAAATGAGAAGAATGGCAAGCTTGGAGTCAAGAGGTTCAGTAACATAGCTGTTGAGCCCTCCAATATCTTGTATATTCCCAGCTCCAGAAGCTGAGTTGAGAGTTGGTGGATTCTTGAGACGTTGAGGTCCTGACATTTGAAACACAAAAAAGAGAGGCTGTACTTCTGTTCTTTGCTCGCACGCCCACAAAAAGTAAGACAAGATTGGAGGAAATATTAATAATCATTGAAGGCATTGGTTTCTAGTGGGGACTACGTCACCACTTACGTTAATGATAGCTAACCAATCTTCTTCGATTAGGCCACTTTAGGCTACGTCGTCCATAATAGGTAGTAACTTTTTAGTAGAATTTTTACTTCGACTGCATAAGTCATAAAGATTATAGTAGAGGTTAAGAAACTTACAAAAAAAAAAAAGCTAAGAGATACAGATAGAAAGAGATGAGAGATGATAGATGAGAGGTTCTTACTTTTTTCATGTATTTAAGTGTATACAATATGATGCCCAAACCTTGTATTTATAGGATGATATTTAGGTAATACAAAGGGATGTCATGAACAGGTATATTAACTATTGAGATCATGGAGGTGTGAGAGTTATAACTATAATGGTAAGAAGTAATGGGAGGTTAATGGAGAAGAGTAGTGGGAGTAACTTCTTTAGGAGTTATAGACATCCACTATATAATATAATATTTCATAGAAGTCCCCCTTGGATGTCTATAGATAATGTGCCTCGTTAAAACCTTACTAAGAAAAACCATGTGGGAAAAAAAATCTTAGTGAAGGAAAAAGAGTACTCATATCTTGTAATATGCATCGTTTGCTGCCTCGTTAAAAACCTTGCTAGGAAAACCCAGTGAGATAAAACCTCAGCTAAGGAAAAAAGAGTGCAGCGCGTATCTTACTCCCCCTGATGAAAATATCACTTTACTTTTCGGAAATGACGCATTCCAATCCCGTATACCAGCTTTTCAAATGCTGGGGTTGGTAATGATATATGAACAGATCCACCAAATTATCAATCAAATAAATTTGTTGAACATCTATATCACCAATCTGTTGAAGATCATATCTGAAAAAAACTTTGGTAAAATGTGCTTTATTTTGTCACCTTCAATAAATCCTTCTTCCAATTGAGATAAACAAGCAACATTGTCTTCAATATTATTGAAGTCTTCTTTTTCAAAGAAAAGTCACACATCTATTGTGTGTTGAGTCACTTGCTTTATAGGTTGCTAATGTAACGATCCGACAGGTCGTTAGCTCTGGCGCGTTGTTCAGCGGTTTGAGGCCTTGAGTAGCTTCACTTTAGGTATTGTGACATGTACGTGTGGTCGGAATTGAATTTTGGAAGTTTAGAATTGATTTGGAAAGAAAATTCTTTTCGGAAGCTTTAAATTGGAAGAATTGACTATGATTTCAGTTTTGAGTAAACGACCTCGGAATCGGGAATTGAAGATTCCAATAGGTTCATATGATGGTTTCGTACTTGGGCATATGTTCGGATTGAGTATCGGGTTGTCCGGAAGCGTTTCAGCGCTTATTGTAAAAAGTTGGCATTTTGGAAGTTCTAGATTTCATAAGTTTGGTTTGAAGTGGATTTTGATGTTATCGATGTCCATTTGGAGTTTCTAGCCTTGGAATAAGTTCGTATTGTGAATGATGACTTGAGCGCAAAGTTTGACGTTATTCCGGTATGTTTTGATAGAGTTCGGACGCGTTCGTCGAAGTTTGGAAGTTTGAAATTTAAAGAAGGATTTTGATCGTCGATTCGTAGTTTTGATGTTTTTTGGTCAGACCTCGAGCAGGTCCATGTTATGTTATGGAACAAGTTGGTGTGATTGGATGGGGTCTCGGGGGCCTCGGGTGTGTTTCGGGGTGGTTTCGGACCAAATTTAGATGAAAAGTTATTGCTGGTTTGCTGGTGTTGTCTTTCGCGAATGCGGATGAAGAGATGCGTTCCCGAAGAAGGATTTCTGGGCTGGTGATTTTGCCCTACGCGAACGTGAAGAGGGGCTTGTGAACGCGTAGGTGGGCCTGGCAGTGCTTCGCGAATGCGGAGGCTCAACCGTGAACGCGAAAAGGAAATGAAGGAAACGGGGCAGAAGGCCTTTGGCCTACACGAACGCGACTGGGGAATCGCGAACGCGGAGGGAGAGGGGCAGTAGGCATCGCGAACGCGACATTAAGGTCACGAACGCGTAGAGTTGATTTGGAGGCTGTGATTTTTGGCCTTTGCGATCGCGATGGTCTTTCCGCGATCGCGAACAAGAGCAGGCTTGGGCAGATTGTATTTAATACGAGATTTGACTCATTTTCTCTCATTTTTCACTTGGTTGGGCGATTCTTGGAGCTCTTGGAGGGAAGATTTTCATCATCTATGTCAAGGTAAGTAATTCCCGTCCATTGTGAGTTAGATACATGGTTTATAGTTGGATTTAAACATGGAAATTGAGAAATTGGGGATTTTGAAAAAAACCTAGAAATTGGTATTTTTTGAATTTGACCACGAAATTGGACATGAAATTTGGAATAAATTATGTATTTAAGTTTGTGGTATTATGGGTAAGGTTTATCTTCGAAAAGTTTCAAAATCCGGGCATGTGGGCCCGAGGGTCGGTTTTATCGACTTTTCAAGCGGAGTTGGGAATTGTTTAAATTTATTAATTATGGATATTAGAATATATTTTGATTGGGTTTCACATTATTTGAATAGATTTGGACTGATGGGCTTTGGTTTGAGGTGTTAGATAGGCTTTGGAGCCGGTTATGGAACTTCGGAGCGAGGTAAGTCTCCTGTCTAACTTCGTGAGGGGAAAACTACCCCTAGGTGATGTAATTATTATGTGCTACTAGTTGTGGGTGCTATGTACGCACGAGGTGATGAGAGTACGTACATAGCTAAAGCATGTTTATGTCCGGGTAGACTTAGAATCTTATCATGCAATATTTAAATGATTTGAACTCATTCTCCTGGCTTAATTAATTGAAGTTATAACTGAAATTGGTTTAGAAATAAATATCTGTATAATAGACCGAGCCTTATCACTTTGAGTTGTGGGCGAGTTATTTGAGAAATGGTATAGTCATATTATGCTCATGTATTGTATTGTAAGCACGTTTCTCGTAATTCGGTAACTTTCTTCCATTTCTTGTGGAGCGGGCCGAATGCCTCGACAATATATATATGCATCTATGGATCGTGCCGCACGTCCCTCGGCAGTGTACACTTTATTATGGATCAGTCCGAACGACTCGGCAGAATCGTGCATTATCGCTAGTAGTTCGAATATACACAAGATAAACCTTCCACTGATGCCAAACATTTTATGGTATTTCTTATTTATTTGGTACTGACACTTGGCATTTTCTGAGATATTAAGGCAGAATACCAGATCGAGAAATTTATGCTTTAAAAGGAATAATTGGAACATTATGATATTACAGATTTACTCCACTATTGTTGTGCACTTCATACCTGTTATGAATTATCATTTATTTATTTGGACCTCTAGTAAGTGTCGATATCGACCCCTCGTCACTTCTTCTCCGGGGTTCGGCTAGATACTTATTGGGTACGTGATAATTTACGTACTCATGCTGCACTTCTGAACTTAATGTGCAGGATCTCATAGGTCATTTGGTGATCATCTTGGCACGTAGGTGCATCTGTTGAGGAGACTTTATGTGAGCTGTAATTCAGGCTGTGCATCACAGTCCACCGAGTCTCCATCGTACTATTTACTTTATCCTGTCTTATTTACATTCTGGACAATTGTATTATTATTATTGTACTCTTTAGAAAAATGCTCATGCACTTGTGACACCAGGTTTTGGGGGATTCTACTAGATGTTTAGTATGGTAGTTTACAAAATTATTATCACCTACCCTGTAAATTCTATTTATTACTATTTAATTATTGGAAATTTGAAATTTCAAAGTAACAAAATGGGTAATCTGATCGATAAATCAACGTTAGCTTGCCTGACGGCACTGTTGGGCGCCATCACGACCTATACTGGATTTTGGGTCGTGACAGCTTGGTATCAGAGCGTTACGTTCACTTAGATCTCACGAGTCATAAGCAAGTCTAGTAGAGTCTTGCGGATCGGTACAGAGACGTCTGTGCTTATCTTCGAGAGGCTACAGGACTATTAGGAGCACTTCCCTTCTTGATTTCCTCATCGTGCGGTTTTATTCCACTAAGGCTTATGCCTTTATTTCCTTCATACACAATCTTACGCGACGTGAAGCGCTTGTTATTGTTGCGCCCCGTTTTCTCGCGAAAGCGAGTTTTGACGTGTGATAATTCTTTAAATGAGGTATTAAAGGAGAAGAGTCGCCACCTGAAAATTTTGAGGTGCGTTAGGGAACCTATTTGCAAATAACTCTATTTTAACAAGTCCATCATCAAAGATCGGGTAAGGGCTCAAATTACCTCGAAGAGAAGGTGCTAGGCATTCTCCGAGGTCCACAACTGTGAGTGCCGGCCGAACTTTAAACTATGTGGATTATGTAATTAGGCTAAATGATCAAATAGGTTAAAAGTCAGAGAGTCTTATTATAACATATGAAAATAGGTACAAATCTCAATATGACTACAAGGATACAATTACGTTGGTTTATACTAAAAGGCTAAGTGTGGATATCAAATATATAAAGGAAAAGGGAGGGGGCGGGGGGTCCTAAGTTTTTTAGCCAAAAGGATCACCCCGTGCAACATAAATAATACCTCGCAACTTCCTTTAGGTAGGAGTTGCTCATATTATTCAGCGAACACAGACTATCATCTCCTGGTACCCGATTACTATGTTGAAGTTGTTTACCTAAAAGCGTTCTAATTCAATTCTAGGTCGTACCCTATGCGTGCATTACCCGTACCATACCTATGGTCCATGAGGCTTTGGACCTCTATTTGGGTGGTTCTAGACTTACTTAGGATGCTCAAAATTATTTAAAATAAAAAAACTAGACGACATTCAAAACAGGTAGGATTGCACATAATAGCAATGAAAAGCTCAAATTAGCCTCCACACATAAGCACAAAAGCATGCGATCAGTCACCGATTTCTTAGATTGGGCAGTACATGATGTTAATCGTTAAGTCCTATAGGCAGGATTTCTATGTGATTCTAATTTCCAGTATTATGCACACAGGCAAGTTAAGACATTGCAAGTCCTATAGGCATGGTTTCTAA